AGCCTACCTCAACCACCCCAGGCCTTGATTTCTTAAGCAGGCCTACGTCAACCACTTCAGGCCTTGATCCCTTCAGCAGGCCTACCTCAACCACCTCAGGCCTTGAACACTCACGTAGGTCTACCTCAACCACCTCAAGCCTTGAACACTCACGTAGGTCTACCTCAGGCCCTTTCAGGTACCACGTAGCATCCAGAACCATGTGCCACTCAACCTCCTCACTTGCAAGAGGATCTTTCTCTCACCATCCACAATACCTTGCTCTGGACAGGCCCCAGAGACAGCCAGGTAGAGGCTGGGGAGCCCTCTTTCATCAGCCCTGTTATACAGGAGATGCACAAAGTTCAAGTTAGTAAACGAGTCCAACTAAAACCATGGAAGGGAACACAGAAGGAAGATCAGACCTTTCCTATGGCTGTATGGGCAGTATGCTGCAAGCCTGCAGCAGCAAGGAAGCCAACATCACCTCACTCCCCTACTGGAGCAAAGACAACAAATCAGAGCAGTTGTCAGGTCACCAAAAGGTCTCAGCTAATGATTTAGAGAAGAAATATATCCAGCTTTACTGGGGTCTGCCCTTGCTCCACAGTGAGTCCCTAGTGGCTGCTGTCAACATGGCAGGGTCCCCACTAGATCCAACTTGTTTAGGGACAGTCTACTTACAGCCTGTTACACGGTAACACTAAAGGCCTTCCACAGCTCTGTTCTCCAAAGCCCTTGCTTCAACACTTGGTCAAATCCGATCCTTTGACTCTAAATTTTTCTTAGTCCCAAACACCATCAGAGACTAGAATCCAAGCCGAGGCCCATGACCCATCCTCTCTCTCAAAGCTGTTGTGCAATTCAGCTCCACTAGGAAAGATGGGACTTCTTGTCCTATGCCTCCGAGAGCCCAATTTATTGTCTCACCTAGTGATCGACACCTAGAGCGCCACCTTTTGAAGAAACACCAAGAAATCTGGAGTGATTTGCCAGTATTGGTTAAAAAAAATCACAGGAAGCATTTAATCAACAGACTTCCAACAGTTGGGGCTTGCAACAGCCAGGGGCCTGTTGTCCATCTCCAAGGGGATTACATTATCCCCAAGCTACTGGAGCAGACAGAAGAAGATTTCAAAAAGAGACTCATACAACACCAAGGTCCATGGCCCCCCAAAGTTCAGCTATCTCTTGGCCTGGGTCAGGCAGAAGTTAATCATAGGACTTCATGTCCCTCAGCACAGGCAAATGAAAGTGGTTAGTATCTACAGACTGTCTCATTTAAAGGTCAAAAGATATTACAACCATGGAGGACCCCACACAAGGATCTTCCAACCCCTCTGGGAAGAGCTCTGGAAAAAGATCTGCACAGGCCCTCAGAAGGTTCCCTGGGCAAAATTCTTGAGGCCTTCTCTGAGACAAAGGGGGAATCTTGACACATGAGATGCCAAACAAGTGACCTGCAAAGTGTTTCCCCAGTGGGACCAGGAAAGAAACAGCTAGGAGGCACCATGAGAAACAACGCAAATCCTAACAGAAAGCAGACCAGTGACACTGAGTTGTCAGGCGGAGTCTGTTATGACAAATGTGTAGACCATGCACTCATTGGTCCCATCTGAAATCTCCAGCCAAATCTGGAAACTTCAAACAAACCATCCTTCAATGGAGCAATCACTAAAAAGAACTCTACTAATGGGCCTTCCTTCCTAGATCTGGGCACCCAGAAGGAGCTAGATGCACATATTACAAGACACCTGGTGAGGCACAGATGGAGCCTGCCCCTCAGAGGCCTCAAGACCATACATATTTTAAAGATGAAGAAGGACACAACTTTACCCTTTTAACAGTCCTCCAATGATTCTCTGTCTTGGGACTCTACAGACAACTCTATCATGCAACTGGCCAGTAACCTGGGAGAATCCATCCAATAATCCCCAGAATGAGACATGAAGACAAAAGCTTTCTCTGTGGAATCAAAGTCCACACAGAACTGTCCTGCCCTCCAGACAGCACTCCTGAGAGATTCTCCACCTAGTAACATTTCTGGGCCCTCTGAAGCCCCTACAACTGTCCTCGGGTACAATGTGACTTCGGTGTCCACTCGAGAGAGCCTCGTGGGTAGAGCGTGGCACAAAGATACACTTGTTAGATCTTGGGAAGAATACCCAGAGCCTAATCAGGCCGAATCCAGAAGAGTGAGGGCTAGACTTTAAGACATTATGACAACGAGGTCTCAGTTCGAGAGATCAGTGGGGCTTCTCAGTCCTCAAGGAACAGGGGTACCAGGAAGCTGGAGGAGACAGAGGAGGAAGAATCTTGTGAGTGGACAATCCCCATGGACACTGCGAAGATGGCTGATTTTCAAATCAATCAGTTTCTGGAGGCAAGTGGAAATCTACCTAAAACCTTTCCCAGGATGCAGAGGACTTGGGCCTGAGCACACCTCACTGTTCAGCTGCTGCTGTCATTCTGCAGGATTGTGCCACTGGCGCGTTATGCCAAGACTGGGACCCTGAGGTTGTGATTGCTGCAGAGATCCTGGCTTCCAGGGCCGCCCAGTGCAACCTCAAGACTGAGCCCGCTACGATCAAGCCAACCTTCCATTACAGGTCCCCATTTCTTAGGAAGCGATAGCAATGTCCTCAAGTATTACAAATACAGGAGTCACACGCATAGACATAGATATGTCACAAATATCCAAAAAGATAAATACAGAAGTCCTCCCAGGCAGGATATACAACGTAAAGGGATGAAGCCTGACTTAAGCATACACATCAAATAATGTAAAGTTTGGGGACAGAATGAAGACAGTTTTACTATCAATTTTAAACCCAAAATATAAAATGTCAGACAACTCCAAAGAAAAATGCAAGGGTGTACCATCGATGACCCATAGCCAGAGATTCAAAAAAACATTAGCACAGTTTGTCATGCAAAGCTCAAGATTCAGAGTCAACCTTAACCTGATGGAGGGATGCCCTATGGTAACAGGCAGGCCCTGGCATCCAGAGACCCTGTCTACCTAGCCAGCTCCTATCAGGACAGAACCCATGTTGCACATGTTCCAGGGATACCTGTCTACTGTCTGAGGCATGGACATTGCAATAAGTATGATCTACAAAGAAGTCTATCCCCAAATTAAACTTTTAGACATTACTTCCTCTAAGTATGTTTTATTGTGAGGTTATATCTGCTTGCTAGGCCACAAAGAAATGTCTGCATGTGGTCACCTTAGAGTATTGCATCAGGAGAAGACATGGCTCCACAAAGGGGGTCAGAACCATCCTCAAGATCCATCACTGTTATTAGAGTCAATTATACTGTAAATATGGAAATAAAGGGCTTTAGGATTTGTGTGTGTGTGTGTGCACATGGGTGCCCGCGTGTGTATGTGTGTTTGTGTGTATGCAGGGAGGAGTCAAAATGAACCCTAGAAGACATAAACAAGAAGTCTTTAGGACTGGGGCACGTGAAGAGTCAACCAGGTAAGACCCTACCCTAAGGTTCAGCTTCCATCCCAACCGCCACATGCCTTGACCACTGAAGCTGGTCCAACTCAATCTCTACAAGCCTTGATGACACAAGTAGGCCTGCCTCAGGCCTTTCCAGGTACCAGGTAGCTGCCAAAACCTGGTGCCACCCCAAATCCTCACATGGTCAGTCCTAGCAAGAGAATCTTTCCCTCAGCATTTAAGAAGCCTTGCTGTGGGACAGGCTCCACATACAGGCAGATGGAGGCTGGGAACTCTCTTTTATCAACCCTGATATCCAGGAGATGCTGGAAGTTCAGATTAGGAATAGCGTTCCTACTGAAAGTTTGGAAGTGGAAATGAAAAGAGAGATCTGACTGTGCCTTAAGCTGCATGGACCATATCCTCTAGTAGTGAAGCCGGAAGCAGGTCAGCACCACCTCATGCTCCGTTTGCAGATGAAACTGCAAATCAGAGCAGTTTTCAAGTTCTTGAAAGTTCCCTTACCAGGTTTTAGACAACAGTTTACAGCAGAAATGGTCCAGTTTTTCTGGGACTTCTACTTTCTCTCCAATGAGTCCCCCGTGGTTACTGTCAACACGGCAGCATCCCCACTAGATCACCTCTCCATCTAATCCAACGGACCGGACCATCTATTACACCCCTAAACAAGTGAGGACTATCATAACTCCACAGCTCTTTCTCAGAATTCCTTATTTCATCAATTATCAAATCCAAACATTTGACTCAGAATCAGTCCTGGTCCTTATTGCTACCAGTGGCTTAATCCATATCCAGGCCCATGATCCATCCTCTCTCCCAAAGCTACAGCACCAATCAGCTCCAACAGTACTTTCAGGAGTGAGCCCCCATTGTTCTTCTGGCTGCAGATATCCTGTCCGGCCACCATAACAAAAGTTCTCAAATGTGGACTCAGATTCTAGGCATATTTTCATAGTACTGGAATAAAATAGGGCTTCCCATATGTTTAAGCAATCAGTCTATACAGAATTATATTTTGTAATGACTCTAACTAACCATTTTTAAATCACAAGTGAGGAAGAAGGCAGGAGAGGACTCAGATCAAACAAGCTAACAGCTAACTGTCATAATAATTGAGCTGTCCAGCCGGGTGGTGGTGGCGCATGCCTTTAATCCCAGCACTCAGGAGGCAGAGGCAGGTGGATCTCTGTGAGTTCGAGGCCAGCCTGGTCTAGAAGAGCTAGTTCCAGGACAGGAACCAAAAAGCTACGGAGAGACCCTATCTCAAAAATCAAAAATAAATAAATAAATAAATAAATAAATAAGCTGTCCAAATGGTGCTTCTCTGAGGATATGGGCTTATGGGTTCTTCCATTTCTTTCCTTCTTCTGTCAGAGACAATGCAACAAGAAGTTATTACCCTACGAGTTTGGGAACTAAACATATAATGTCCTTACTTAGCCAACAAAGACTCACAATGCATTGCAGTTTTTAATGCATCATGTTAGAAATTCATGGCAGATAGCTAAGACAAAGAAGCCTTCACATAGGAAGAGTTTTATGACTCACAGTTGCTGGGATTTGTAGTCCATGGTTCCCCGGCCCCATAGTTTTGGGCCTGCAGTAGAAGATATGCAAAGTTGCACATGATGGACTAGCACAGTTTAATTCAACGCTTCCTGGAAGCAGAGAAAAATGGAAACATTGAAGAAGGACACCAAACAATCTAGCTTTGAGATTGACCTAAGACATAACCATAAAAGACATTGGCACCTCAGGAGTTTTCTCTCAGCTTTCAATAATGCCCCTAACTTATGACAGCTTTAGTGGATTAGTCTCGTGATCGTGTCAGAGCTGTCACTGTTCAATCACCTCTCCGTGATGAGATCCACCCGCTAGGACCAAGCGTTCAATACAAGACCTTTTCAGAAACTCTTCATATCCAACATGTAGTATATGTTAACAACTAAAAAGAGCTTCCTGGGTTTTCAGGTCTGTGATACACACATAACATTTACTATACAATCCTAAAGACCTGTGTTCAAACCCCAGAGCATCCAAATAAAGCTACATACAGCTGCACTCACCTATGATGTTATGGCTCCTAAGGCGAAATAGGAGACAGGCACAGGAGATTTCAACACTCCTCTCTCACCAATGGACAGGTCAACCAGACAGAAACTTAACAGAGAAATAAGAGAACTAACAGATGTAATGAATCAAATGGACTTTACAGACGTCTGTAGAAAATTTCCCCACCCCCCCCCAAACAGAAAAGAATATACCTTTTTCTCAGCATCTCATGCAACCTTCTCAAAAATTGATCACATATTCGAAAACAAAGCAAACATCCACAGATACAAAAACAATTGTAGTAACCACCTGTGTACTAACAGATCACCATGGAATAAAGTTAGAATTCAACAACAATTCAACCCCCCCAGAAAGTCTACAAACTCATGGAAACTGAACAGTCAACTACTGAACCACTCTTAGGTCAAGGAAGAAATAAAGAAAGAAATTACAGTCTTCTTTGAATTCAATGAAAATAAAGACACAACATACCCAAACCTATGGGACACTATGAAAGCAGTGCTTAGAGGAAAGTAAGCACTAAGTGCCCACATAAAGAAAATGGAGAAAGCACACATTAGAGACTTAATAGCACACCTGAAAGCTCTAGGAAAAAAAGCAGACTCACACAGGAGGAGAAGATTGGACATACTCAAACTGAGGGCTGATATCAACTAAATGGAAACAGAAAACAATTCAAAGAATCAATGAGAAATGGCTCCAGAGGTTAAGAGTACTGAATGTTCTTCCGAAGGTTCTGAGTTCAATTCCCAGCAACCACATGGTGGCTCATAACCACTTGTAATGAGATATGGTGCACTTTTCTGGCCTGCAGGTGTGGAGGATGAACACTGAGTACATAATAAATAAATAAATCTTTAAAAAAAAGAATCAATGAAACAAAGATCTGGTTCTTTGAGAAAATCAACAAGATTGACAATCCCTATGCAAACTAATCAAATGGCAGAGAGAGAACACACAGATTAACAAGATCAGAAATGCAAAGGAGGACATAACAACAGACACTGAGGAAATTCAGAAAATCACTAGGACTAACTACAAAATATGCCACAAAATTGGAAAATGTAAAAGAAAAGGGCATGTTTTAGATAAGAACCATATACCAAAATTAAATCAAGACCTGGTGAACAATTCAAATACACTTATAAGTCGCAAAGAAATAGAAGCTGTAATCAAAAACCTCCCAACCAAAAGAGACCAGGACCATATGATTTTAATGCTGAATACTACCAGAACTTCCAAGAAGAGCTAATACCTATACTCCTTAATGTGTTTCACAGAATAGAAACAGAAGAGTCATTACCAAACTCTTTTTAAAAAGCTACAGTTTCCGTGATCCAAAACCACAAAAAGACTTAATCAAAAAAGAGGATTACAGACCACTCGCACTCATGAACATCGACACAAAAATTCTCAATAAAATACTGGCAAACTGAATTCAATATAATATCAAAAATTATTGATTATGATCAAGTAGGCTTAATCCCAGAGACGCAGGGCTGGTTCAACATATGAAAATCTATCAATGTAGTCCATCATATAAATAAGATGAAAGAAAAAAAAACATATGATCATTTCATTAGATGATGAAAAAGCATTTGACAAAATTCAACACCCCTTTATGATAAAGGTCTTGGAGAGGTTAGGGATACAGGGTTAATAACTAAATATAATAAAAGCAATACACAGATAGCCGATAGCTAACATCAAATTAAATGGAGAGAAACTTAAAGCCATTCCACTAAAATCAGGAACAAGACAAGGCTGTCCACTCTCTCCATACTTCTTCAATATAGTTCTTGAAATTCTAGCAATAGCAATAAGACATCATAAGGAGATCAAGGGGATTCGAATTGGAAAGGAAGTCAAACTTTGTTATTAGCAGACGATATGATAGTGTACATAAGTGATCCCAAAAACTCTACCAAAGAACTCCTACAGCTGATAAACACCTTCAGTAATGTAGCAGGATAAAATATCAACAAAAAAATCAGTAGCCCTACTATACTCACACAGAGAATAAAGAGGCAGAGAGAAAAATCAGAGAAACTTCACCTTTCTGGATAGCCACAAATAGCATAAAGTATCTTGGGGTTACAATAACCAAGGAAGTGAAAGATCTATTTGACAAGAACTTTAAGACTTTGACAAAAGAAATTGAAGAGGATACCAGAAAATGGAAGTATCTCCTATGCTCTGAGGTTGGTAGGATCAATATTGTAAAAACGGCAATTCAACCAAAGGCAATATATCGATTCAATGCAATCCCCATCAAAATCCCAACAACAATCTCCATCAAAATCCCAACAAAATTCACAGACCTTGAGAGAACAATAATCAGCTTTATATGGAAAAACAAAAAACCCAGCATAGCCAAAACAATCCTATACAATAAAAGTATTTCGGGAGGCATTACCATCCCTGACTTCAAACTCTATTACAGAGCTACAGTAATGAAAACAGCTTGGTATTGTCATAAAAACAGAGATATCGACAAACAAAATCGAATGGAAGACCTGGATATTAATCCACAAACCTATGAACATCTGATAAAGGAGCTAAAATTATACAATGAAAGAAAGAAAGCATCTTTAACAAATGGTGCTAGCATAACTGGAGGTCAACCTGTAGAAGAATGAAATAGATTCATATCTATCACCACGCACAAAACTCAAGTCCAAATGGATTAAAGACTTCAATATAAATCTGACCACACTGGACATGATAGAAAAGAAAGTGGGAAGTAGTCTGCAACACATGGACACAAGAGACCACTTCCTACGTATAACTCCAGTAGCACACACAATAAGAGCAACAGTGAATAAATGGGACTTCCCAAAACTGAGAAGCATCTGTAAAGTAAAAGACACTGTCATTAAGACAAAAAGTCAACCTACTGAATGGGAGAAGATCTTCACCAACCCCACATCAGACAAAGGCCTGATCTCCAAAATATATAAAGAACTCAAGAAACTAGACATTGAAATTCTAAATAACCCAATTTTAAAAATGGGGTTCAGAACTGGATACAGAATTCTCAACAGAAGAAGTTCAAATGGCCAAAAGATACTTAAGGTCATGTTCAACTTCCTTAGCATTCAGGGAAATGCAAATAAAAACAACTTTGAGATACCATCTTATGCCTCTAAGAATGGTAAAACCAAAAACACCAATGATAACCCTTGCTGGAGAGGATGTGGAATAAGGCGAACACTCATCCATTGCTGGTGGGAATGCAAACTTGTGCAACCACTTTGGAAATCAGTGAGGCAGTTTCTCAGGAAACTGGGAGTCAATCTACTTCAGAATCCAGCAATTCCACTCTTGGGAATATACCCAAGAGTTGTCCAATCATACTACAAAAGCATTTGTTCAACTATAGTCATAGCAGCACTATTTGTAATAGCCAGAACCTGGAAACAACCTCGGTGCCCTCAATGGAAGAATGGATAATGAAAGTGTGGCACATATACACATTAGAGTTTTACTCAGCAGTAAAAGAAAATACATCTTGAGTTTGCATGCATATGGATGGAAATAGAAAACACTATACTGATACTGAGTGAGATAAACCAGACCCAAAAAGATGAATATGATATGTACTCATTCATTAGTTGAAAACAAAGGACATTTAGCTTATAGTTCATGATCATAGAGAAGCTAAATAATATGGTGAACCCAAAGAAAAACATATATAGATCCCCCTGGAAACTAGAAGCAGACCAGATCATTGGGCAAAAGTTGGGAGCATGGGTGTGGGGGTGGGGTAGAGGGAAAAGGAGAAGGGGAGGATAAGGGCGAAGAGGAGGATTGGGGAGAGCTTGGGGGAGTGGGATGGTTGAGATGGAGGAAGGGTGGATATGGGAGCAGGGAAGACGATATCTTAATTAAGGGAGCCATTTTAGGGTTGGCAAGAGACTTGGCTCTAAACGGGCTCCCAGGTGTCCACGGAGATGCCCCCTGCTTGGTCCTTGGGCAGTAGAGGAGAGGGTGCCTAAACTGGCCTTGTCCCATAGCCACACTGATGAATATCTTGCATATTACCATAGAACCTTCAGAAAGTCCAGCAGTCATTTTTCTGTGAATCCTGCATGTCCAGTTTATACAGTGTACCCTTAAGCAGTCCAGACAAGAGTAGTTTCTTGCCCAAATGGCTAGCTTGTCACATTGAAGGCAAATTCCATAACGAATTTCTTCAATGCCCATCAATCTCTCAGAAGTAATTGCTGCTGCCAGAAGCAGACATGTTTCACTGTCAAGAATATTCTAAGTTCCTAAAAAAATTTAATAACATATTCTATAGGTCTTTGAGGTGTTGAAGATTATCTTACACATCTATGTATATCCAGAAAGTATACAGAATGTAATTAATAGTTTGATTACTATAGAAGAATACCTACTAATCTGTATTTCTTAACTATACATTGCATTTTTAAATAAGCTGTCTAAACATATCTTAAACAAGAGTAGAAACATGCATATAACAAACCGACCTTAAATTTATATCCATAAACCAATGTCCATATAAGAAAAGCATTCATTTCTATTTTTATATACATCCCCCAC